TATCAGATTTTTACCAGACTTGTTAGTGTCTTTGGTTTGTTTGTAGTTTGTTTGCCTCTCGAAAAAAGAATATTGCTATGAATGTGCTAAAATATTTTATAAAGCTTTTAATGTGGTTTAACTAGTTCGTATTTCTTGTTTGTTTGTCTCTCGGAAAAAATAATCTCATTCCAAATCTGCCATGTTTGTTCCGAGATGTGGTGGCTCGAACGGGAGATTGTCGGACGTGATGTCACTCAACTTGGAATTTCCGAGTTCCGAGAGAAAAACGAACGCACCGTTAGATAACCGCCTCGACAAACATTCACATACACGTCTGAATCCTTGCTGAAGCGTGTCGTCGTGTTCTCTCTTTCACGCTCGTTACAGTATGGATAGCTTAGATTTATCTGATTTGATTTTGTGTTAAACGGACTTTTTCGTTTCAATTCAAAATTCATGTAGGCCTAGCGCTTGTCACGTTGAGAGGTGCATAGAAAAAATAATTGTGTGTAATTTATCACGGGTACGGATTTAATTTTGAAATAATCACGGGTGCACGGGCAGGTGTGGTGCTGTACTGTGCGGGTCTCCAAAACTGGATCGAGGCAGATTTAAATGAAAAAAAGCGCAGTAGCGCTCTGCTACAGCTGTTGATGCCATGTCACAGATGTTGCGGAAGAATAAATCACAAAGCTGAACAATAGGCTGGATGATTCAAGGTTTGTCCCAGTATTTGCATCCAGCGGCAATTCATAGCACGTCCCAAGTTATTCACAATAAGGTGGTTAAAAGCCAGATCACAGCCATGACATGTGCAGAGCTGTTCTGGAGAGACTGTTTTGGATTACATGCATGTGATTTTGTTGTAAATTGGTAGAAATTCTAATTGTTATTTTTCATTTTGCCTCTTTACCTGTCATATGAAAGTGAATACACAGGCGCACTCATGCAGTCGAGCGCTCTCACAAATGAAATATATGCAAAGAGTAAGATATTGCCTAAAGGAATCAGTGTCAATGGTTTGCAGATCAGCTTACATTTTACACCAACATACGGCTGCATCATACAGATATTCCTGTGGGCAGGCATGTGCTGTGAAGAATACAGTTTAGGACAGTTTCCCAACCTGGACCTTGGGGACAGCTCCCTCCCAGCCCCCTACTGGCAGTTGGGAGGGAGCAAAAACATGGAGAGGCCCTGGGGAGGTGGGGTTTGGGGGCTAAGGACTGGGTTGGGAAACACTGGTTTAGGAAGTCTTCACTTACTTTCAGAGCACAGAATTACAAATATGGCTGCTTGTAATGACATCATAATCATCATTTACTAGTACCTTATTCCCATTTGCACAGAATTTGACTGTTTTATAGTAGTGATGTGTCAAATTAATATAATTAGATTAACTAAAGTGATTTCTGCAATGATTTTTTTCATGAATGCGAGTTCTGCCATGATTAGATAAGGAAACAGCTACATTCCGTCTAATTCATCCAACATGTAGCTGCGGATCCATTGCCGTTCATTGTCACATGCAGAGTGCAGTATCAATGAGTCTCATGTCATACACGGTGAAAAGAAAAAAATCTTTACACAGCTGTCAGACACTATTTCTAGCAATGTTATTCATATTTTATTGAATAATAGGAGATCAACAGTCTAATATTCAATTACTGAATGCGATTTGTACGTTCCATAAAAAAAACTTTCCATTTCTACAGGAATGAATATCATCAAACTATTAGAATTTCAGAAAAAATACAACATATGCACATAGAATACAGTTCAAAAAGCATATTTTTAGTGCAGGAGTTTACAAAAATAAACTGCATATTTTCAAGCCATGCCTATTTTACCATGTCTGATGTTAGTGCGTTCTGATTGCATCTGAAAAAACTAATAAAATATAGCCAGTGGATGGATTTTACCCTGACAAATTTTATCAATCTGTGGTTATCAAAAGGTTGGGGACCTCAAATTTATTGTATACAGTATAATATCAAAACACCTAACCCATAATCTTCAGTCACTCCATGATTCTTGAGGATTCTCTTTTCAGGGGTGTCTGAAGTCATGACGCCCTAACACTGGCACACCTCTCATGGGAAAATGGGGGGTGTAAATCCTTGGTGCTGTAGTTTTGTGAACAAAGCATAGTGTCTCACTCGCAGAGTTGAAGCTGTGGAGCATGTGGTGCGATACCTTTTCTGCTGGGCCTCATGATGGCTTTATTTGGGGGCTTGTGGGCACCCCGGCTGAATCCCAGCATCAAGCAAGGCAGTGGGAGTGTGAGAGCCTGCATAGAATAATGAGGCCTTGTCCTTCCATCTAAAATACAAGGACTGTCAGCCTGAAAATATCATCGTGAGAAGTTCCATATTGTGTATGCTGTTTTATTTTACCATATGCCTTCAGTGTACACAGAAATATCACAGAGGTACATTATTTCCCGATGTGTACAACACATACAAAAATGCAATTAATATAGACCAACAGCTTTAATATCGACCTAAACTAGTTCAGTTAGAACATATCAGTAGTGAAGGGACCATTACTGAAGCTATTGATACAGGAAGATTACAATTACAGTTCCCACTGTGAAAAATGTTGACAGTGATTTGAATCCATCTGCTCCTGAACACCAGGAGGTTGGAGGGTAAACTCAACACTGCAGGGAGACACAGGCCGCCAGAAGGCAGGCCGTCAAGTCAGCAGAAATGGGTTTCCCATCCACACACCTGGCAGCCTTTCCACAAGCGCAGCACGACTCGGGAGAACATAGCCACCTCGATCCGACTCCCCCGCCCTCGCGCACGCACACGGAGCTGCCCAGTAGAGGAGCTGGGTTTCTGCTGGAACGTCGCAGACTCCCACATTCGGACGCTGTATGCTGGACACTTTAATGCGGAAAAATTGGACTGGTTAGAGGAATCTAAAGCTGTGGCTGTTTTAATATCTGTGAAAGTTTCAAGGAAGCGTGAACGAAACATGGGATATTTCTATCGGCAGGGTTTTGAAAGGAGCCCCGGATCTTCTCACCAGATTATGGCTCCTGCTCACGTACCTCTAAAGCCACCCCTTGTTATATCGGGCCACCGGAATATGACCTGTAGGACACTACTAAGTGAACATCCATTTTTAGTGCTCAGCCGATCAAGGCCACCGTGGTCCGGAAGCTCTCAAGATACATGGAGATGAAGGCAGGACACATCCTGAACAGGGTGCCAGTTCATTGCGGGCGCACTCTGCTCACACATTAAAAGCAGTTCAGTGTCACCAGTTCAAGTGAACAGCATGTATTTGGAGGTGTTGGAGGAAACCCAATAGAGAACATAAAAACAGACACAGGGAGAACCGGGGGCTGATTCAAATCTGCAACAACACTACCCCACTGAGCTGCAATGCCACCCCAACCGCAAAGCAAACCAGGAAAACCAAGCGGGGAAAAAACATTTCATTACTGTTCACTGGCAGTTTTAGGTATAAACAGCAGAAACCTGAACAATCGCTGGAGGCGACAGATGTACAAACTGGAAGCGGGGTGAAAATCAGAAAGCTCTAATCCATCACCTCCTCTGACATGGCGGGATGTAGCTGCTTATTTGTGTGACCTGATAATTAGGTGCCCTTGACAGGACACACTCTGAGTTTGATTTATTTTTGTCCCCGTAGAGTGTAACTGTAACCAGATTGGCTCCGTCCATGACCGCTGCAATGAGACAGGCTACTGTCAGTGCAAGGAGGGCTCCACAGGGCAGAGGTGCGAGGACTGCCTCCCAGGCCACTACTGGAAGCAAGGCTGTTTTCGTAAGTAACTCAGCATGGCAAATATAATAAACTTCGCAGACATTTTCTACGATTTTACGATAAAATAAATGCTGCACACTAAAACGGTAAAGCCGGAGGAATTATTTTGTGAATAGTTATAAATTGTTTTGTTAGGCACTGTTGTTTTGTTAGGTCCTGTTGATTTGAAAAAAGTGCATATTTAAAATTTACTTTTCAATTTAAAAAATGTGTTGAGTAAATTTGATGCATTTTTTCCAAAAGTTCACTGAGCAGGACAAATACGAGCTGGTTGGTGGGCAGGAGAGATCAATAGTGAAGCTGGACGAGTTTCTAGATAGCCAGTCAAAAAAATATTTTGGCTGGCCGTGTATAAACTCCGGGAAAAAAAACGCTTGCTTACAACTATCATGCATTTCTATTAATTGCTAAATAATAAATTGTTCCATATCACTTGGCTCTGGGCCAGTGATGATATTTGGATGCTGTTTTTCCATCTAGGTGGTACAGCATTGGTCAGCTAGAACTGAACTTTGTTTTCTGACCTTCAAACCTGACCTGCTAGTAAGCTAGCCTATTTATCCTCTCTTCTAAACAGAAATGAAAACCAGATGTATGTATTTTTGAAGAAAAAAAATGGTTTTGATGGTTGACAAGATGTGCAAGAGGAATATGATGATCCTGACCATCCCATTAAATACAACTCATACATAACGACTTATGGCTAACTTGTGGGGGATTTTTTACTTGCACAAAAAAAAAAGAAAACCAATCAGATTGCAGAGCAGGCGGGTCCAAGCAACTACAGAAGGCGGGACTAAGACATCTGATTTATAGGTCCCGCCTCCTCTCATCTGATTGATAGGGCCCACCTCCTCTACAATCTGATTGGGTGTCGCTTTGAACCAATCATTCTGCCCTCTGAACATTTTTGTGTGAGTAAATCTCCTATGAGCTTACAGCTAGCCCTTCTCAATGCTCATCATATTTCTTTCCCAAATGCATCATTTCCTGATTTCCCCAAAATATAATGGAACAAGTATGTTGATACTTTCTGCGTAGTGATGTGGCATGTTTATACACAGTATATACAAGTTTCGGGAAATGAAAATACTAGTTGCAATGTAAAAACACTGCTATTTATAACTAATTGATTTATGATTAAGGTCATTAATTATATTTCAGCGCATAAAAGGATTGTATAGTATAATAAAGAAAATTGGAGGGCACAGTCTGAACAATGCAATAAAAATATGAAGAAAAAATTCTAACCACCACACTTTTATCATACTTATGCCTTGGTGGCTGTTTGCTACACAAGGATTCATGGTAAGCCAAAGATTTAATTAATCAGTTCTTTTTGATTGTGTAGGGCATGGTCTGGTGATTTTTTGTGGTAACACTTTAAGGGGGCACAAATAATATAGTAGTACACTTAAGATATTAATTAACCAGTAAGTCAGCGTTACTCACCGATACCCTGTTCATCGCTAATCAGTCATGACGGTTCATGCATTTCATGCAGGTATACATGATTTGTTCAAGTAGTAAAGGTATTTGAGCCCCCTGAAGTGAAATGTTACCCATTTTTTAAAATCATATTAACATTGCAGAGTTACACAATTTGGGAATTAGAGTTGTTTTTAAGAATCAAAATTAGGGTTTTATTTGACTAGCCGAGAGATTTTTTATCGATCAGGCTGAAATGATTCCGCAAAGATCCTGCCCAGAGAGCAGGTGCCATCTGTCCCTTAGAGTGCCACTCACCTCGTTCCCCACTCCCTCTGTCCTTCAGCAAACGTGTGTGACGACGAGCTGCTGCTCTGCCAGAACGGCGGCACCTGCCACGAAAACCAGAGGTGCATCTGTCCCCCGGAGCTCAGGGGCGTACTGTGCGAGCAGCCGCGCTGCGACGGCGAGGACTGCGACGCCGCCTGCACCTCCTACCTCACCTCGGTCACCCTGCTTCTCTGCCTCCTGGCTACTCAGCTGCTGAAGTTAACTGCCTGCTGAGCCGCCACCGGGGGGCAGCCCCACGCCGCTCAAGGAGCGAGACTACAGACGGCAGAGGCACCGCCCATCCATTTCACAGTCTCGTTTAATCCGGGGCGTCCGAGCCGCGACTCGGAGCAGGTGTCAGAGGGGCCGCGGTCGGAGGGAATATCGCTGACTGCATCACTTCCCTTAAGAAAAAAAAATGCTGAGGGAATTTCGTACCAAAAACACTTAAATAAGGAGAAAAAAAATTACTTAAAAAAAATCAAAGCCTACAGAGAGATACACAATGAATATTTAAAGACATTCTTCTTGACGTAGTTCTAAGTTTATCTCCCACTTTACTGCACACATTTTGTTTTTTTTTTGAACCAAGATGGGGTCACAGCCGCTGCTGAATCCTGGTTAAACCTGAGGGCAGACGTGATGTTTCTTCATAAACTGGAGCTGTTTCGACTTTTCCTTCCTTTGCTGCAGTTTTGCCTCCTGCCATCTATTGTACTGACTTGAGAAGAAAAAAAAATATGTTAAATCTAATATTATAACAAATAAATAATTAAATGACTAGCCACTGTTCCCCCTCTAGGAATAGGGATGTTTCTCCACATCTTAAGTGGTTAAAGCTTCACATGGTATTTAAGAAGCAAATGCAGAGTATAACGTATCCAAAAGAAAACTACAAATAAATCTAAAGAAAATGTTTTATTATATATTAACATTGTTTGAATATTTTTTGTAGAAATTATTTTTCTTCCAGGTTAACAAATTAAAAAAAAAAATAAAAACTACTGAAGAAAAATCTTGTATGTAAGCATGTCTGAAGTTGCTGGGATACCAAAATACACTGCACTGCCTCCAGTGAAACATTTACATGTATTATTGCAAGGAAGCAATCCACCCATTTTATGACCACTTACTGGGCAAACAGTCACTGGGGGACACTTGAAGCACCCTGAATATCATATGCCTCAGTCCATCACAGGGCACACCTAGAGACCCGTTATGCTGAAAGCATGACAGGACAGGACATGCAAACTGCACACACACAGAGCAGTGCTTGGTATGAACCCCCTGGAGATACAAAGCAACTGTGCTTACCAGTTGAACAGGTTAAAGAGAAAAGAAAAGAAAACAAAACAGGTGTCATTAGCCGTCAACAAACATCTTCATTACCTAAGAGCATTTCAGTAGTTCCTGAAAATGTAAAATATACACACCCCAAAGAAAAGCAGAGTGGTCAGAATATCACAATTCCAGGTGCGGTATCCAAATATACAAATCTCAGTCCCTGAAGGTTTTGGTTTTCCCAACTTCTGATGGATTACAAGGTTTTCTATGCTTTTAGAAGAACCAGTCCTGTAGCGTCAGAGTGGGAGGGAGGGGGGGGGGGGAGGAAAAGGGTCTGTTCACACCTGGTCTGCATCAGAAAGCAGAAATCTGGGTGGTTCAGTCAGCATAGCGCCTAACAGAACTGAACAATATTAAGGCGGCAGCGACAGACTTAAGTGGTGTAAACACCCTGGCGATCGACAGCGTACCGACAAAGCGCCTCATTCAACACCATTCTGCAGGTTACCTTCAAAAAGTACCACACACAAACTTCCCAGAAAGTTCCTTTGAGCATAAAAAGGTGTCAATATTTTTTTTTATTCTCTTTTTCAACAAATAGTAAAAAGCACAAATGATTAGTTGCATCCAGTTACAAAAACACAGAAAAACAAGCTCTCTGATTTCTCTCCCAGTTTAACTGTGGTACATAAGCGGAGAACATAAATGCAGGTTATGTACATTAAAGGCAAAATACATCAATACACTCATGTCTTCTAAAACTCTTGCAGTACTTAAAGCTGAGGGAGATAATGCTGCTTTAAGTTGGTATAAATGGAAGGATATGGATTTTAAAAAAGGATCTAAATTTGCTACATAATATGCAGATATTCTGAATGTGCTGCAGACTTGAAATGAAACTGGAGATCTTGGCTGTGTGCTTCGCAGTTAATGATGCAGACGCTGGCCGCGTCTGACAGACATCACTGCATTTCTATGGAGAAACCCCAGCAGTATGAGGTAACAAGGAGAATCTGAGGGATTTTACTGCTTTGACACAGTCTTAAGGACAGCAGTCATAGCAGCAGCACCCCCTACCCCCATTTTTGGTAGTCCCCCCCCCAAATCACTGTATTTTAAGTGGATTCCAGCCTGACACTATGCAGGACAGCAGGATTTCACAGTTAGGTGGGTTAATTTAAACCAGAAGTCATGACTGTCCAATAAGAGGTAAGGAGCGTTCCTATGGGACAGTCAAGACTTCTAGCTTAACCCAGCTAACAGAGAAATCCAGCTTGGTGGAACAGACCCTGCTCTGTCCTCCTGACCGCTGCGTCCCTGTGCCTGCGTCCCTGTGCCTGCGTCTGGCAGCCCCGAAGCCCTGTGCTGATTCTCCTCCGCTGCCCCGATACCCCCACCTCCAAAAGGCAAAGCGCTCACACCTGCTTTAGAGCCGCTACTTTATTATTGTAACCCTCCCTCCAGTGTTCTGAAAAACAAGCCAAAGAGTTAACAAGCAAAAATATTTAAGATCCCAGGTAGAAACTCTCCCAGGCAAGTGGGTGCAGAACATGTACAGAATGTTGCATAGAATTAAGGCTATACAGTACAAAAATAGAAAAAGACAAAATCTCAATCTTTAGGCTTATTCTGTAATTATATGGGAAAAATTAAGAATTTTCCTCAGAGGTCAGTCTCCTTGAAACATATGGCTTATTTACATGTCATTTTAAGTTTGTTTATGCACCAACGCAGTTGTTTAGATATGAAAACACTGGACAAGCCTGTCCATCCCCAACCCCCCACCCCCCGGCTGCCTTTTTCGCCATCTGACCGCAACGTCTGCATGGGGTGTCACATCCAAAGGAATGCAAGTGCAAACTGTCAGTACTCAGGTTATGATAAAAAAAAAGATGCTAAATAAAAACACCCAAGATCTGCATTAATGACAAAATGCAATTATATTGTTTTGCACGAAAATTCTGAGAATATGGAAAAACATGCGCGCGCGCACACACACACACACACACACACACACACACACACACACACACACACACACACATAAAATGTCAGCGCCTTCCCTTCTTGGCAAAGGAAGCTGACGTCCGTTGTGTCTCAGAGGCCCTCTTTAAATTCTGGGGGGTGGCAGCACCATGGCCAGGGCGGGGCAGACGTCCTGATGTCCCCACGCTTTGGTAACCGTGGCTGGGATACCGGTGCCGGTGACCTGGTGGCTCTTGGTGGGACGAGCTCTGCCCAGAGAAGCTGGAGGAGCGCCACAGCTCCACCCTGCGCCGTGGAGCCAGCTCCCCTCGCTCCGGCTGGGGTGGGGGCGCCTCGGGGCTCGGCTCGATCAGCCGGGCCAGCCGAGGGTCCTGGGGGCGCCCCGTGGTTGGCGATGAGGGGCCTCGGTATGTCGTTAGCAGAGGATCCGATCTGCGGTGGGTGCTGACCCTTGCAGGCCTGTCCCCACTGGGGGTGGGGGGCTTTTGGGAGTTCTCCACGTGCACCCGCGGACCAGCTTCCTCTGCACGGCCGACACGACACTGCAACGGCAACCTTGGGGTCCTTGTCAGGCCTGAGTCGGGCTTGAAGATCTGCATGGCGTCCTTCTCGAAGTTCTTCTCGCATGTCTGAATGATGGTGCCTCTCTTCCCGGCGTCATCTATCAGGGCACCCCAGTCCTTATGCTCCTGGAGGCAGAGAGGCAGGCAAGTCACGTGAGGCAGCCTTTACCGCGGCGCATGTGGTGACCGAAGAGGCCGTACCTTCAGTGTGCGCAGATGGCCCAGAATGAATAAGCTGTATTTCGCCCGCGTTATAGTCACGTTCAACCTCTGTCGATTATCAAGAAATCTGTAGAGAGACACACAGACTTCTTAAAAGATTGATACAAAACCTTAAACCACATGAAAAAGTTCAGGCATTTAACACTTCGTCTGCCCGCGATTTCACACCGAGCGACAGCAGCCGGCCACTTGAGGCGTCAGGGCATCGTTTATACTCAAGTTCGTCAGGACGTACGATGATAACAATGCTCGCCATCTGTGAGGCTTGTAAGGACGTGCGAGCCATATGCGAACGGTAAAGCGTGTTTACGTAGCCTGCCATGTTCTCAGCTGCCTCTGCTAGCGCACAGTCATGTTAATGAATCTGTTTAAAGCTGCTACAGCTAACGAGATTCATTACTGCCGTCTCAGAAGCAGCTTCCTCAGTTCTGTGCTGGAGCTTAAAATTTATCTAGTACTTTACCCCCACTGCTGAAATGTATTAAATTGCTGCTTCTTCACTGACAGAAATGCATTATTCAGTACTGACAGGCCAGTCTGCAGCACAGGGCTTTTTCTGCCCTTTTCAAATCACTTACTGTGCCGATAAAAGCACACAGACAACAAAGATCCTCTATATATAGCAAACGTTTGACGTTTTTCATGCTCGTTTTAAACGTTGCACCTTTGACTGCCAGGAAAGTAAGCCGACAGTCACAAAGAAGGTGGTTCACAGGTCATCATTTACACGATAAATCCTGTTTGTTATGCCCCCTGGGTCAGTAATACCACCAGTGTGTCTTTCTTCCTTGTTCATACGTCTTTGGAGTATTGAACTCTACAATCTGACATCTTATTTACAGTTTTCAGGCTATTACCCAAATTGCAGAAAGTTTTTTTGAGCAGTTTGTCAGTACTACAGGTATGACTCATTCTATGACCTCAAGGTAATAGAATTAAGTTGTACATAGAATACTATCTTAGCAACATTAAAAATAAAAGCAAAAACAGTTTTTAGAAGCTTTCACCGGTACGTGTAAAGGATTGCAAACCATCCCATTGAATAAAAAAAAAAAAGAAAAAATTAGGCTCACTGCCGTCACCTAGTGGCATAACATTGAAAGTGCAGTTAAAAAAAGCCAAAGCCCAAACTGAACCTTGGTGTTCTCTTGCCATACTCACCCAATGGAGCCGTGCTCACTGCTCGCCCTGACACAGGATACAATGATGCAATCCATTTCTCTGCCTTGGAACCCATCTACCGTGTCCACTTCCACTCTGAAACGCACAAGGGCACGTCAAAATACAGCCATGACACTTCATCTGTATTTTTAGAATATGCAGTAGATCAGATATAAACCTGATGCCATCACAAAAAAAGGATAAAAATGTAAATTTTGAGAGTCTTGCTGAGTCATAAATTAAATCAGACTAACTCGCCTAAGGGATTGTACAACATCCCCCGGAAATGAAGAAAAAAAAAAAAAAAAAAAAAAAACCACATAAAAAAAAAAAAGTTTCCAGCCAGGTTTTTCCAAAAGCAATAAGCTCCAGTAGAGCCGCGGTTCCCCCAAGCTGGGCCGTTCGCTAGTAGAGCCGCGGTTCCCCCCAGCTGGGCCGTTCAATGTAGAGCCGCGGTTCCCCCCAGCTGGGCCGTTCGCTAGTAGAGTCGCGGTTCCCCCCAGCTGGGCCGTTCGCTAGTAGAGCCGCGGTTCCCCCCAGCTGGGCCGTTCGCTAGTAGAGCCGCGGTTCCCCCCAGCTGGGCCGTTCGCTAGTAGAGCCGCGGTTCCCCCTAGCTGGGCCGTTCGCTAGTAGAGCCGCGGTTCCCCCTAGCTGGGCCGTTCGCTAGTAGAGCCGCGGTTCCCCCTAGCTGGGCCGTTCGCTAGCATCCGTTTGCACGGTGAACAGTTCAGCTCTGTTACGGTAACTAGGGTAACTGACACTACCTTGACAGTTTTTTTTCTCTCTCCCAACAATCTGTAGTGTTTGCAAAAAAGTGCAGTTGCAACAACACAGCTCTCCTGGGGAAGGTCTCAATGATTCAGGCCCACATTTTGAAGTTAAAAAGTTAATGGTAATACCATAAATTATGGGGTCATATATTCAATTTTGAATGTTTATTCTCTGTTGGAACATCAACTATGGCCGCTGCCTTTTAAAGGCAAAAATCCATAAAGAACACCAAGATGACCCATGTGCATATTTTCTGAATAAAATGGTGCTAACCAGATAGACTTACCAAGTCTTCTTAAGCTACAGTTCCAAAATGAAAATAATTCCAGACAAAACCAAGTCCTCATACCAGAAGAATATCACTGCTCCCTATGCTACACCTTTCATTTTCATCACGATGTAAAACATTAGCCAGGGTAAACAGTTTTGAGCACAAGCATCGATCTTACTGCAGGTGCCTGTTGTCCTCCTTGGCCAGCTCACGCTCCAGTGAATCCTTGATCCTGTTCTTCTGCGCGCTGTATGGTGTGATGACTCCCAACCTGCCAACCTGCTTCTCTATGAACAGCTTTATGAGAATCAGCACCAGCTTTACCTCCTTAGCATTACAGAAGGATCTGGAAGAAAAAGTAGCAATTAAGTATGAGGCGACAACATATATTTTTACAGGAGAGATACAACAGCAGACACACAAAGAAAAGATTGGAAAAATAAATCAGCGAAACAAAAAAAAGCAGCTGATATCTGACAACGGCCCAGATATCAGACTGCATGTGTGCCCAATGTGTAGCATAACATGGAACACAAGTAGTACAACAGAATTACAAAGCCACTTATAACATTAAGTAATAACAGATACTTTAAACGATCCATGGGGAAACTCTTTACACCTCCCCCATCTTGCTCTCTATAGGTGAGAGCGAGCTGGCTGTGAACGGCAGCCACCCATAGTGACACCCAGGGAGCTGGGTGGTTAAGAGCCTTAATCAAGGACTCGCAGATGTGCCAAGGCCGGGCTCGAACCGGCAACCTTCTGATCACAGACACTCAGTCGACTGAGCCATACACTGCCCCCAGAATGCATGCAAATCACAGACACTCAGGAGAGAACTTGGGCATTTTATAAACTCGCACAGTAAATGATTCCTCCTTTGAAAATATGCGTTTCTGCAACTCTTAGTAGTCACAGATATTACCAGATGTGAACATGACAAATTGCTCTATATTTTAAATGAGACACAGCAGACAAATTTGTCCAAGGTTTCTTGGTGACATATGGCATTTAATATAATGAGCAGAATTAGAGGAGGTGAATTAGATGATGGTAACGCACTCAGGGAACTGTCTTGAAAATCTTTAGGTCAGCAACTCGATAAAACTTTGGCTGAAATCCTTCCCAAACTGGACTAAGACTCTTGCAAATACTCTTTCAACAACTAATAACTAGCATAACTAGTTTCACGATTCCAATTTTACCCTACCTTGGTGTTTTGTGTGCTATTGTTATTCAGATAAGACACTATTTCAGTTTGCTCAAAGCACATTCAGTTGCTTTTGGTACAAACACACAAAGGAATGCAAATCCTTCATAACTTCTTTTGTTTCCATTTTTCAATTGTCAAACGTAAACAAGTATCCGCGACGAAACAGTCAGCATTGTAAGATCAGCTCTACATCATGAAGGCATGAAATATGGATGACGACTTTGGGCATCTTGAGTGGAAGTTATAGGTTTTATTTTTAAAATTTCCACGAAGGTTTGCATGCCCGCTAAAAATCTTACGGTAGCACAATAAGCTACTGATAGTATCTAAGCTGCCTCTTGTATTATTACACTATTTGAGTGAGATTTTGATGAAATGTGTTTTTCCTCCTAATCAGAACCCACATTGTTCATCTTAAATCTTAATTCTCCTTGTCAAGATGAGCGGAGGAGTCCTCATCTCACCACATTTGAGATTAGCAGCTGGTGCAGAGGAGAAATAAAGTGGGACCCACCCATTCTCTTTGATCTCGGAGCCGTCCTTCACGTCGAAAAGCCTGTACGGCTGGAAAGGCCAGCTGACCGCACACCTCTTCTGAGCAGTTTCACTGTAACAAAACGATTACACATCACAACATACAACATACATTTCACGACTCCTTACAGACCACCAAAGGAATGACCGACGTTTCGGAAAATCCGATTCATCTCCCCAGTGCTTCTATCCAAAACCACCACCTCTCTCGTTACGGGTTTATACTGCTAGGTTGGTTTTACTTGAGCAGCTGAAGTGAAGTATTTTGCCGAAGGGTACTATGGCAGCCTGCGACATCCTTAAGCGTGCACCTGGCCCGCCGAAACGGCACACCCCCGCACATCCCCTCAGAGCCGTGAGCTGCCGTACCCGTCAGTCTTCAGCGCCTTGTTGTAGATGTACTTGGAGGGGAACTCGCATATGTCCGGGTGCATGCGATACTGCCAGTTGAGGAAGATGACAGGGCTGCTGATCCGAGGGTTCTCCCTCACGATGTGGTGAAGGCATCTACACAGGCGAGCCATCATTGACTGGTCGTACTTCTTCTCCTTTGCAGTCTGGACGAGGTACACCACCATTACAAGGACAAAAATCTATTCCCACTAAATTGCTTAAACATATTAAAACTAGTTGGCAGCTAGTGGGCTAAAGATCTTGAGTTCAGATTGGATAGATCAGATGGATTGATAGAATTTTTGAAAGGGCTTTACAATTTTAAATTATACAATTTTACTGTTGTAAAACTAAGTCTAACAAGATTAATTATAAAAACTAATTACTGTAAAATAAAGCACACATTTACAAGAATACATTTCATGAGGTCAGCAACATGCTAGAATTTGAAATGTATGACTTTGGTATTATAGGGATATTTGAAAAGGCAGTTATGTCAAACAGCCGATGAGATGATGGATAGCTAAGGCATGTCAGAGAAGCACACATTCCTGGAAACAAAGGAGCCACTTTTAGTTTTGCCCTTTGTTCACACCTTTAAACAAGCAATGCTAAAAGGCCGTGGTATTGAACTAGCCACTTAAGGGCACTGCTGTAAATTACCGGTTTACCATTAAATTAACCTTGGTGGTTCAATCCACCTCCCCTAGTGCTACACGTTGCATATCACAAACCTTACGCATCAGCATGAAACGCTACAGCAGGAAACAGACTCAGAAGGTTAGGGTTAGACAGACACACAACATTTTGTGACCAATCAAATCAACTAGCAGACCTTTAATTTCTACTGAATCACAGGCCACAGCTCTTTGAGAAGGCAGGATATGACTGACTGGTGAAGGTGGACTCTTGGCCATAGACAAATTATTATATAAAATTAAAACTTTCAATGGGGTTTTAAAAAAAATGGACCCAAGGTACCTACAAAAGCAACAAATGATTAATTACTGGTCATCACCAAAAATCTGAGCTGCTTATTACTGCTGATGCTGTAAAAGTGAGTACCAGTCCATTCCGGCCTAACCTTGCAGATTCCCATATCTCCAGAGGTGTTCAAGGGGGAAATTTAATCATGCTATAAAGCAAAGACTACCTTCCTGTGTTTTGCTGCTCACTTGAACATGGAGGGAAAGGGGCAGGAGATTAATGTCACAGCACGTGTGTAATTTTTGACAAGGTTTACACAAACTCTAGCACCTTCTGAAAGCACCTTCTGAAAGGGGTTAAAAATTAAAAAATAAGCCAAGCTAACATTCCAAGAGGGTCTGTCTGCAGTACGTGCACTCGGTCATTCTGTCATTCTGTCACTCGCATGCTTTGCCTCTGAAGTCACGTGCATGCACTGCCACAATGGGAATCGCTACCCGATTGTGCTATGAAATGATTCAATTTATATGATGGGCTTGATTTTCCCCCCCCCCAAACACTTCATGACTTATGTAAATACTCAACAAGTTGCCAGACTTTGCAATGAACAAGACAGATTTACTAAATTAAATCAAACAAATCCTCCAGCACCAGGTACTCTTACCGGGCAGGTCCAGAACAGCCCACATTGTGACACTCAAATGACCTGCAAGTAGCCCTGCACACGTAACGTATAGCATGGAAAGTGCTGTAACAAAAACCAGCTTTACTGTGGGGTATATTTACTGTAGCCTAACTGATGATCAACAGCCAAACGTGACTAAACGTGTCAACAGGCCCTCATGAGCTGATTGGCTATGTATCCAGGTGTAACGTTCCTCCCCTCTGTTCTATACGTTTACTACACTGCAAACTAATGTTCTTTTTATTAACAGTTTAACTGATAGTATTAAAAAGAAATTAATTAAAAAAAAAAAAAAATCTGTTAAAATTCTTCTTACCAGTTACCGGGGAGACGGTGAATTATAAAACTATAAATATGTAACAATTTATTAAAATTTGCCCCCCCTCTTTCTATAAACCCCTGCTCATCTTCTAAAGCAGCAGCATTCACTCCGTGATTATGGTCATCATGGGCATGAAACATTTGGTGCATGACCGTAGCAAAGCAATGTCCCTAGGATGTGACATAAATGCTGAACAGCAGAGCTAACTAGCATCAGGTCGATCTGATTTGAAATAATTATTAAATAGTATACAACTGTCGTTTATTTGACCATCTGTAGGTTGCAGCCCAAATAGCAGCATTTAAATTGCGCACACATTAACATTATGAAGAATATGATTTAGATCAGGAAGCGAATCCCGTTGTGGCAGCGCATGACGTCAAAGGCAGAGCATGCAGGTGGCAGGCCATGCTCATACTGCAGCCAGACCATTCTGTAACTTTCAGCTGGTCAGTACCAATACAAAACCCCATGAGCATAGAAAGTGGATCTCTCCTTGTGTAATATTTAAAATAAATATTTTTATATTTATATAAAAAAAAAAACAGTGCAAAAAACCTATTTGCATACTAAGATTTTGTTGAAGATGGTGTGCTCATTCTTTGACAACAGATGCATGTGAATTGAGGGTTCCTTACATTAAACCTGAGCGCACACTGCATTACCTGGGACACGACAGTAGGGGGCAGCTGCTCCGGATCCCCCACTAGGATGAGAGCGGGACAGCGGTACACCATGGGGATGAGAGTCTCCAGTTCGGTGGCCTGTCCCGCCTTAAGAGTGAAGAATACATCTCACATTATCCAGTATGATCAGAGAGCCGCAGGAGAGAGAACGTTCAGGCTTTCCTCTAACCTCGTCCACGATGACGCAGCCGAACGGCTCGTGGCCCAGCCGCCGGAAGGCTGACTCCAGGACCGAGCCTCCGCTGGTGCTCAGCGTGCAGCAGATAATGTGAGCGTCCTGGAGCACCTTGGTCTGGGTCTCTTGCTTTCTGATCCGTGCCTGAGAGCAACAAAGATGTCCATTAAAATGCTAGTAATCATGTCCTCCTAGACAAAACAAAGAAACTGGAGAAAAGAAAGATTTCTGCAAGTAAAAAAAAAACAAACAAACAAACAAAGTCTTCCTGTCAACTGATGCTGGACCGGTAAACAGGCCCCCTGCCCATCCCTCGGGCACCCACAGGGCAGTAACAGAGACAGGGTGACAGATCTGAAAAAAACTCCCTACCTCTCTCAGGCTCCGGCTGAGTTGTTCCCGTTCTTTCAGTAGTTTGCCCTTCTGATCCATCAGCTGATCGAACTATCCAACGACCATTGACAGACAGAGGGACACAGAGAGGGAGCGTTAGCAAGACCATGTCCTGAAGTCTATGTCAAATGACAGCATGAGGGCCACCCAACATCCCCACAATGAAAATGCATTAATGGACAGAAAGTGACATCATTGCAGAGCACATGTAAAATGCCTGGTGATAAGACCATATCGGCCAGCATCAGTAACGCTGCCCTACTGCACGATGATTCTGCTCTAGCCACTGCCTCACCATCGCCCTGTTCTTTGTCTCCATGACAAGCCTTCTGGAGAGACTGTCGATGCGTTGGTCAAGCTGCTCTTTGCACCTCTGAATGTCCACGTCTGCAGAATGCTGGGCTTTTTCTGTAGTAACGAGAGATTTGCTCAGAACAACAAAAAAATCTTGCCATTTTGAAATCAATAAGGGGCCGGTTTTGACTGCGAGCAATCGTAACTGCCGGACACCTTCATTATGCTGCAAACGTTAAGATGCATTACAAAGTAATGCGTTAGACCGAACAAAATTCCATGGATTTACTGAAGCCCTCTTGGTTAAATTTGTGTCAAGCCAGTTGTGCCCAATTACAAACACAGACACCCTGAGTCACCTTCCCAGGATCTCTATCACTGCTTAAACTGAAAGAGAACATTGATAGAAATTAGACTTACGAATTCTGTTTCGCGTCTGGCTATCAAGACTGAACAGCATCAGGTTTTTTGAAATGCTCCTCTCATTTCCAACACGTACTAAATTTATGTCTCCACAGTTACCTAGAATGAAGGTGAAAAGATATGTGAATGACACAGGGCAGGCCTATAAAATACACTGGTTAAAAAAAAAGAGTCATTTCCAGGCTCAGTTTCCCGCACCACACATCATACCCAGAGGGCTGTGAATGTCCCTACAGCTGTCCTTAAACTCCACGATGACCTTCTTCATGAGACTGTCGATGGCAGCATTGGACGGCGCACACAACAGTACCCGTAGCTTGCGGGCCTTGGAGCCGACAGGGCTCACGTTCGTCAGACCCTGTGAAAACACTGTGGCTCAGGTCCAGGATACAGCACATCTACAGTAACCCAGGAGGCGCAGAAAAGAAAAACTGAATATCACACACAGTACAAAGCTTATACTACAAATGCAGCACCTGGACAAGCTAAATGCAAGGAAGAACAAGGAAGTGATTTCCATGGTCTTTGGAATGAAAGTGAAAAAAGGCTGAAAGAAAGAAAGGAGACAATACAGATACATCTCTCGTTTCTGGGTCTGTATTGCCATGGAGATCAGCAGCAACCCTAGAACCTGGGGATCCTTTCACTTGCACTTCCTTCTAAGGATGTGTCCCTTCCCTCTGAAGTTTAAGCTGCTCTATAAATTTTTACTTTTAGTGCGGAAGTTTGTTTGGGTTAATTGGACAAAGGAGACCCCTGTTAAAAGTAACCCTGTGGTATAAAATAATTCTCAGGGTCTTTTCCGACATGCAAGGACTGTACCACAATAGGGCAGAGCAAAGAAAACCAGTGTCAGTGAGGGTTTTTGTGTGATTGGCCTAGATGCTCGGCAAAGGCGGCCTGCTGAGTTTGGTAGAGGGGTGGTATTGGGGGGGGGGGGGGGCATTTTGGGCAATGTCTGATTTGTGCTTTGACAGGTTATTGTGCTGTTCATGCTTGTTCTTCATGGTTCCATTTCAGTACTTATTTAATTACTGTCACTGCTATTTTGTACTTTTACGATGTACTACAATGCGGATATAGTGTTTTATATGAAAATAAATTATTAAAAAAACACATGAACCTCTCATCATTACAAGAACTATTTTAGCTGCTGTACTACTATTTGATTTTAATACCAGCTCATATCTAGCGAGACAGACAGACAGAGAGCTAAAGCACATGGGATTTAAATGGATTTGCATTTGGGAGTAACAAGCACCTCTGAGAAGAGCTTCTGTAGCAGTCTGACGATGGTCTGGCTTTTCCCCGTCCCTGGGGGGCCATGAATAAGACAGATCTTCGGGGTTTTTTCAGGCCTTTTCACAATAGAAATACCACTGCTAATTGCCTTTATTTGCTCAGAGTTGCTGCCCTACAGGGACAGGCACAAACACACAAACAAGACGTTACACTTTCAATATTTATAAATTCACTGGAGCAAGACATTCTGGGGAAAATACATACATATAGCTTAATATGCTTTTGAACCCCTGTAGCATAGTAAAAGTGGCCTTTTTAAAACAGCATATTTTTAGAATAAAATTTCTCAGAATACATTATGGATTTTATTAGTGGTGTTCCGATCGATCGATCATTATTGGCCAATTTCCGTGAAAAAGTATGTGATCCGTATTCCGATCAATGCTTTTCATTGCCGATCACGAAAGCTGATCATCAACAAACATGTCAGCCGTGTGGAACTTTTACACCGTCTGTAAGAGTGATGTAAAGCTTGCATCCTGTAACATATGCAACGACAAAATACCTTGCGAGGAAAGCTCATTAAAATGCTTCAACACAACGAATTTAATACGACATTTAAAGAACAAACACTTGGCGGAGTATGGTGAGTTTTCAAGGCTCACTGCAGAGAATGAAGAGACACCCGGAGCAGCGACAGTCAGGTGGCAGTTAACGCAGCCTAAACTTGCCAACACTCGTCCATATGAGCGTGACAGTTAGCAGACTAAGCAAATAACCTGAAAAATAATTGAATTCATTGGGCTAGATGACTAGCCTCTCTCAGTGGTGGAAGACACCGGGTTCCGCCGACTGCTCTCTCACTTGGAGTCCCGCTACGTTTTACCGGGACGTAAATATTTGTGGAGAGTGAGCGCTTATTCAGCGCTGCATCCAACATTGTGGATGAACACAGGAATAGACTCATGACTGAAAAAGCTGAGACGCTCCTCTTTATTAAAAAGAATCTTCCCACAATGCTCATCAACAAGTCATAGGCATTTAGCATGTGACTTTCAGAACTATTTAGCCTGTTGAGAGCCTTAAATTTACCTGCTATCAATAACACAATCTAACAGATCGAAAACATTAAGTGATTTTCAGTTGTCCTTTGGACTGAATAGTTGCTGCATTGTGCCTGCAAGTTTTTTGTATTTCTTCTCTTGAAAAAGTAAAAACATGTTTTTGTCTAAATTAAGGTGATTTTATGGTTCCTTTTTTCCAGATCATGCAGCCAGTAGCACTCATCATAACTAAATTGAAAAATTTACAGTCAATGTGATCGGTATTGGTGATCGGCACTTTGGTGATCAGTATCGGCAGCAAAAAACCTAAATCGGAGGATCCCTAGATTTTATACAATTATGTTTATGAAATAAGGCATCCAATTAAATAACTTTCCAAATCAGCTTGTCATTCAATGAGAGGAAAAAATGTTTTCCAAATTAAACAAGGTTATGAATATGTAACAGCTTAAAAGGGGTCCTGCATGATTGTATAAAGCAAACTGTTTTGTGGACAAAACTTGAAATTAAGAAAAAGAAAAAAGAAAAGAAAAAAAACTCAATGAACTTGAAATATCTACAGGGTCATGTCAGGCAAATAATATTTTGTAATCTACAAAAGCAGTCAACGTAATCCTGGGATTAACGTCACAAGGAGGTAACAGTTCAGGCTGTTAAAAGACTCCACTTCCTGTTCAAAAATAAGCAACATACAAAAAAATGGCCCTTACAGGTAAGCTCAGGCTGGGAATTCTGTCCAGCTGAGCGCGGAAGTACTCGACATGGGGAGCCAGTAGCGGCCTTTTCATGCTACTGGTCTTCAGCAGGCAGAGAGCTTTAAACTGGCGGATGGCAGTCACCAGAGAGCCTACCAGCTCACACCTGACGGGCTGGTTATTCACAGACGCCACATTCCCGTACGTCTGCACAGTCAGGTTCAGGTCCGGGACTTTGCCTGGACAGGATGATGTGCAATTTACACACGAGTTGCAGAAATACACATCGCTACACAACTAATGACATGGAGACCAAGTGACTGGCAGGTGTACTGCCAGTAAGCAGCATTTTTATCACTTTTATTCATTTCAGGTTCTTTTTTTAGCAGATGACCAAGCTGCTACTGTCGTCTATGAATAACTAAAGAAATGTTAAAATAGGTTGGCATAGAGCATTCTGGGGTGATAATACATGGAAAAAGACTATTTTCCCAAATAAACCCTGCAGTTTTAAGGTAAATACCATTTATCTATCTTCTATAACTGCTTGTCCTATTCAGGGTTGCTGTAAGGTAAATACCATACTTTACTCTTGTTTTCCTGCAAAAGCCTAGTTTTTATTTATAAACAGTTCCTCCCATCAGTTTTGCTCATTATGGATTCTTTAACAATAATTGCCTTGCCGCAAACGCATTTGAGAATCCTGGCAACAGAGATATGACCTACCTCCAGTTAAGAGGTTGCATCGGGATACACAGCCAAAATGAGCGACCTCTTCGGTCAAGTCCAGCTCCTCGTCTAAATATGCTCCCCTGTGTGGGGGCAGCCACAAGATAACAAAGTCGTCCTCCTTCGGGTACCGCTGGTGTTTCACGTCATGGTCACTAAGGAAAGCTGAGATAAAGACCAAAGTGAAGATCAAAGTGTTGGTCAACACACACCAGGCACTCAAACACTCCTGTCAGCCAAACAAAACATCTATTCTTACCTGTCAAATTATGAAAAAGCAAGAATGCCTGTTTTATACAATAGATTACCACAGGTTTGTGGAGATCTTATTAAAAGGAGCTGGCTAATTAAGCCACACCCACAGATGACGCCGGTATACAATTAAACACACAGCCACGTAACCTCCAGTCACACTGGCAGAGGAATTGGTGGTAGTGCTGAGGTGGTTAGTGCCTTTCAACTTGGCACCATCATATGATGGCATCATTCCAAGAAGTCACTTTGCCAAATTTCTACCCTGTCAACCACAAGCGAAGTGGAAACATATGGGAGCACGTTTAGTTGCAAAAGGGTCACAAATTTTACATAAAGGGACCTGATCACCCAGCATCGATACCCAATCTGAATGACAGCCACTCCCACCATTTAATGGAAAGCCTTCACAAAAAAGACCATCCAAATGGATAAGCTTAATATCAATACCTGTGGACAAGCTGGTGTCCACAGAGGATCAGTGTACCTCAACCATAAGTAAATGTTTCTATAACAGATTAGGGACTATATACCCACAACCCAACCCATTCCAACCAGTTTCCACAACTGCTTATCCAGAACAGGACCTTGGAGCCTGGAACCTATCCCAGGATGCAGAGAGCACAACAAACAGGAGGCCCAGAATGGGATGCCAGTGCAGTGCAAGATTTGCGTTCAAACTGGGCTGCAGGTAGAAACTAGAGTACCCAGGGGAAGCCGGTGCAAAGATGAAAAGATGAAAAGCTCACATACAAAGACAAGGAGGCAGGAATTTAAGAGACAACAGCAGAGCAGTGAAACAGTGCTTAACTAAGCTAAACTGTAACTACACCTCTTCAGGATTCACAACCATTAATGACAAATCACCATGGCAAACTCACCTTTAAAAGTGGCACTGGCCATGCGATTGTTGTAATCAATTCCTGTGAACTTCAGATTCTGACTTACTCTTGTTCCTGAATTGACTTTTTTCGTCCATTCACTGACAAGCTGCAGTATGATAAAGGAAGGAACATGGAACGTTCCGTATGGAAGATAAACGACATGGAGAAGTGGTTTGTTTTGATTTCAAAACATGGGGTGCATCTCACTGTAACACCTGTGCTGCCAATCAGCTGCTATTAGCTGTACCTTACTGCCCATTTATTGAGACAATCACATATTACATTCAGCCAGGGCATGAAAATCCATGTATAAAGCTTATAAAATTTGCAAAACGTGTGCCAACATGGAATATTCACTAGGTGAACCACAATCGGTATACAGAGCAAATGTATGTCACAATAGAGCTTCATAGCGCTACACAGTCATGCAGCTGTTTAAATGAAGCCGTTGGCTTTTCGTGTGCAATTCAGACACTAAAATGTATTCTAAAGAGCCCAGTACAAATGTTATAGACCAGCAGTCAAGGTTGAAAAACAAATAAATAAACCTATACTTTTTGCAGTGTTTACATTTATGTTCCTAAACAAAATTATATGCGTTTGTGCAAAATACAGTATTAGGCAATGTCTAAATATTAAATAGCTGATATTACTGTTCAATTCTACCAAACAGGTAACACAAGAATGGTCTTGAAAGTATACAGTGAGATGGACAATTTATTACATACCTCTTCGAATGTGTTGTTAAGCAACAAGGGATAAAAAGTTCTAAAGTATTCATCATAACATCTATAGCTAGGGGAAACTTCTTTAAGCTGACGTAGACTGAATGGAATTCCAAAACTGTCGTAGTTGGTGAACATGTCATAAGTCCACTTTAGCACGTCCCCGGTCAAAATGGCCTGATCAAGCCTGGTGCCCGCTTCACTATACGGCACGGCTCCGACCACAGGCGCCTCAGGCCTTTGGTAAGTCTTGTATGTAGGAGCGTGTGGCAGAGCGCCAGTCGCACTACTTGGGGTTGACAGAGGTTTAAATGAGACATGACGTTTGGGTGGAAGAGGCCGTTTGAATTCAGACGGAGGTATATTTGTTCTAGGCGCAGATAACGGCCGCCTGGCAGCCCCGGGCAGTTTGGTCATCTTCTCCATTTCCTCAGCCAATGTAGCATTCCTGGAGCTGGGGGCATATATTTTGGTGGTGGATGGTTTGGCCTTCTTCAGCAAGGAGGGTGACATGCCAGGCTTCAGGAATACATGATCATTGTTATCCGTTTGACCTGCAAGTACTTTAGGCGCAACAGGTTCTACCTGAGCAGTACCTTCCAAGACAAACTTGTCTCCTTGCTGATCATTGTGAAAGGAGGGTCCAGTATTCATTTGGCTTTCAGGCTCAATGTCCATATCAATGGGATCCCTTTGGGTAAAAAATACATCTTCCTCCATTTGTGAGCACAGTTCCATGTCCAATGCTTGATTTTGTGTGAGACACACATCTTCAAGGTCCCCGTCATCAGAAGCAATATCGACACCACTGGGTTTATCTTCAAAAGTACTGCCAGTCATGTGATCAACTCCCTCTTTATGCTGTAATGAACACCTTGACAAATCAGGCTTTTGAATCCAGTTATTATTGTATTGTGTGACTGAAGAACTTGGTTTGTTGTTTTCAGTCAAATTCAATTCTGAGGGACTTAATTTCAGAGTTCTCTCTTCCTGCCTTTGACCCACTTTTCTTTCACCCCCTTTGATTCCAGCCGCAGAACCAGTGAGTGATGTGCCTCGAAGCTCGTCATCCTTCTCATCAGCGTTTGACTCTACTATATGGTCTCCTTTGCTGCATGCTGCTCTTGTCTGCTCAATGGTGTGGTCAGTGGCACCTGAACCTGGCACAGATGAACGCTTTGCTCTACTCTGCCTAAAAAACTGCATGTCCTGAGAGGCCAGAAATTTTTTAGGACACCTGGCACTCATTTTCTGAGGGTTCATCATCTTTGACTTTCTGGTTCTCCGAGTATGCAGGCCCGGCTCAACTCTAACTTCCTGTCCATGTTTTCTCAACTTCCCAACACATTCTGAGGACCTTTGGGAAAGATCAGGAGCTACACGTTCTTTTTTCTTTAGTCCCAACTTCTCTACGGTAGAAACAGATTCCACAGGCTTTCTGACTTTTTTTGGAGGAACTATAGCAGGCATGCCAGTGGCAGCAGAGGAAGAGCCAGAAGCATTTTCATTTTTGTGAGGTTGCATTATTCTCTTCTTTATTAAGGGGACCCTTTTTCCAGTACAGTTAACAGGTAAATCTTTGGCACTTCGAAAAACAGTGTCTGTGCCAATGCTTCCCTTTGGTTTTGATGAAATTTTCTGCTTCTTCAACTGGTCTTCTAGCAGTGACACAGTGTTTTCTATAGACTCATCTGAAACAGGATCCGTATCATACTCGCAAGTGCTGGAAGAAGCCATTACGCCTGGACTTTTACTGACCGTTTTCTCTTTCTTGGTCTCTTGAGCAGACTCACTGGTATAGACAGGACAATGACTCCATTCCGAATATACATGATCCTGGCTTTCAAATTCAAACAACTGTGAGTCACACTCATTTAAATCACCACCATAAATATCACCTGGACTTCTTTCTGCATCAGCATCATGAGATTCAGTCTTCACCTTTAAGTTATTTGCCTTTCCAGATTCATTTCCAGTTCCTTTATTACTGTGCAGAGAAATGTCGGAGTTCTCAGTAGGCTCTGAATCGGAGATTACAATGACATCATTTTGAGCATTTTCCAGTGTTTTGTTCACTTTCTGCTTTATTCTCCTTAATGGTTTGGAGACCTCTGTACCGGACTTAAGACCATAAACGTCCCCTTCGTTTGCAGACACATCCTTTTCATTATGATCCCTGTCAGCTTCATGAATAGATACTGTACTTAAATGTTTTACCTTTTCTGTTTTTTTTAAATGGCTTTTAACAACCGAGAGAGGAAGATTGTCACTGTGCGCAGTGTAATCAGATATTACAGATCCTGAACTCTCCAGGTGTTCTTCATTCCCAGCAATATTTGGATGTTCTTCAGCAGTCCTGTTGAGACCTGGCTGATGTTCAGATGACATGCCCTCCAAGTCTTTCAAGTTAAACTTCGTTGCAATAACTTTAAGCTTCGGAAAAGACCGGCCTAATTTAGATTTGATAGCTTGTAGCTTGTTTGGGTCTAAAAGCTTGGAGGACTGAAGTCCTTTAAATTTTGTACTTGTTGCTGCATGGTCATGTTCAGGAACCAAAGCTTCTTTTTTTACCACAATGCCATCTTTTTGCACAGCTTTAACATTCACATCATTATTGGGGCTAGCATCCATTCTGCCATATCGCTCATTGTCCCACACTGGTTCACCTTTTACAGCTTGCGGACAATCTTCAGTGAATCTGTGACTATCGCTACTATCTACAGGGGTCATTTCAGGATACATGTTCTCGATACAGTCAGTAAGTACAGCAGGTGGAGCAGAATGTTTCTCCTTCATCACCTTAACAAGCTGTTTCAAACAACCCTGTAGCTCTATTGCCTCCCCATCTGTAAGCTTCCATTGCTTTTGTGGTGCATCACGAATTTGCTTATTAAGCAGGTCCAAAAAATGCATGACTTTGCTGTGTGAAGTCAGTTTCCCACCCTCTCTTAGAAGACAGCGTATCGTGTGCATGCATGCTTGGGGGACTGCAATTTTAACTGGAGAGCTGCGAGACAAGGAAGTAGAGGACAAACTGTATGACCCACTGTCTGAGATGAGACTGAAAGCTGTACTGGGTAGGGTGGCACATTTCACCATCACTTCCACCCACTTCGGCGAAGGGTAATAGAGCACATTCATACGGCTCCTACTCAAGTGAAACTCGATAATACGAACAAGGATGAAGGTGAAAACCTCAGTGACTTTATCACAAGTCTGAACTTGTCCATTGATGGGGTCCTTGATTTCCCCACAAAGATAGTTGATGACTTCCTCAATGTAGACAATGCTGAGATCGTCGAGGTCCATCACAGACTTCACAAAGGGGATGAACCACAAGAAGGTGCTGTCGTGCACACGCATGTCCAAGCCAAAGTCATGCTGCAGCACATTTACCAGCCAGTGCATTTCTTCAAAAATAAGGCTGCTACTTTCTCCACATGTTGACTTTCTAGGACTGGTAACCTGTTTAAAAAATGAAAAAAATATAATTTTGCTAAATTATTCCTAAATAGTAATGATCTGTTAGGCCTTGGCAGAAGCATTTCATGGTAACCCTGTGCACATACTTTTTTTGTTTCAGGGTAAATGTAAACATGATATACTATAGTAAACAGCTGCAAATAACTTGGACACACTGCAGATTCTAATAGCTACTTTATTACAGTAAATAACTGGCAACCTTCAATGTTTCTAATTGTATTGTGGAGAGGGGAACGTAGCTCAACATCAAGTAAACCAACTTGATTGTAACATTTCAGTATATATTGGAAATAAGTTAAAAGTATGTCACATGGATGAGTTTTGTAATCATGATTATAAATCACCACTAACGATTTACCTTTTTCGTTTCGTTACAGTCATAGATCATCTGGCTGCAAGTCATATCATCACTCTCCATTTCAACTTTGACTCTGGGCCTTAAAAGAAAATACAACAGTCAAAAAAAATATTCAAGCAAACACTCAAGATGTCTGAACAAGACATCTGGATAAACACTGACAACTTCCGGAAAAGTAGGAATGCCGTAAGGGAACTGAATTACATCAGAGATTTCCGACGGATCTTGTTTATTTCTGCAGTGTAGCTGGGGCTCCCTGTTATTGCCTGGAAGGCTGCTGTGGGTTCAATTAACTGGCCCCAGATTCTGGAGCCCAAGCAATGCAAAATCACCATGAAGCACTGCAGAGCTGGCCAAAACGGATCCATAGTCTCATCTAGGGCAAGAAAAGAAAACACAAAACAAGTCCTTTTTATACAGGAATTGTTGCATCCGATTTCTTTAATTGTTTTTAAAAGATTTTTGAACAAATTAGTAATATGATTTAATATCTTCTACACATTTTAGCACAAAAATGGCTCCCACCTTCCACATTCTTCTCCATTGTTGTAAGTATGCACTTAATAATTTCAGTCTGCTTAGTGGGGGCCAGCACCAGGGAGTCCATTGCTTGACCATCCAGCTGGGTGAGAAGCATGCATATTCCTGGAGAATAACATGGAGGAAGCAGTTAAAATAGATACATTCCATTCTATTATAAATGGCTGAATCCATACATTGTTGGAGCCTACACATTTATAACAATAGCATTTACAAATTGGGATAGCAAAGATCTGACCCTGTTTGCATTGCTGCAAATCACTGAATACAGACCGCAGCCAACAAAAAGGTACCATCTGATAAATCTACATACAGTAGATAATGAAAGTGAACTACCTAGCCAGTAATCTTTGTAGTTCTTTGCATCAAAGAGATGCGGTGAAAGTAAAACATTCTTCTCGTTCTCAGAAGTGCATGAAATGTATATGTCAGAATTCTGGAACAGGTCAAGGTCCAGTACATGAAACATCAGTAAGAAGGTTTCCTTAAGCTCATAGAAGTCATCTCGGTCCACTTTTCCCAGTGATTTGGCTGCACGTATCGCCCACCGTCTCACCTGGACAAATTATAGAAACAAAGCAGCTGCAATCTGTTTGGAAAAGGCTGAAAGATCCCCAAGAATAAAAGAACACATTTCCTACATTCCATCATAGCTCATACTACCTTACCTGCTCATTGGGATATACTAGCAAGAGGTATATGCCTGGAAATTTCTCAAAAACTTGAAAAGGGTTCAGCTTCTCCATCTTGCACAGTGCTTCCACAAACTTCTCAGCTGCAACAGAAGGACATGAGTCCTGGTTCATTTGGCTGTATGAATTCACTATGACAATGTTTCCCAATCTGGTCCTCAGGCACCCAATCAGTCCTTGCCAGTTCCCTCCTAGAGCAGAAACGTGGACTTTCTGTGGGTCCCCAAGAACCAGACTGGGAAACACTGCACTAGGAGATTAAATTAAATGCCTAAAAATACTCAAATGATTTAAACGATACAACCCCATTTAAAAAAAAGGAATAAAGGTTAAAAGGTTATGATTTATAAAAGAAAAATATTGAACAGAAGCCTTCCATATAGTGAATCACCGGATTGAATCCAGTAAATACTTGATATCCACGTGTTGTCATATTCTGTGATTATACAGTCTTTATTCCACAGGCCAGGAAAATTGATGTCTGAATGTATAGCAAACACAGCTCATTTGCACATAATAGAACTTCCCAAATAACTATGACCAAAACTGGAACAGAAGATATTAAAATCTGACATTGATATTTACTGCAATATGAATGGAAACAGTCAGGTTCGAAGTAGCATTTAATTTACTCAATTATTTGTCAAGTATCTTGCACCTGTATCTACAATAGGGGTGGCCAATGTTATCCCCAAAGGCTCTGTTCACACCTGGAATTAACGAGCATCCAGGGCAATCTGATCACAAGTGGACAGTGTTAAATACATCCATTAACACCCGAGATTAACATGCATCTCAATCGCCCGCTTGTAATCGCATCTCACTTTCCTGCAACTTATTTAAATAAGCACGTAAATCATTTCCGCATGCAGAATCTGCCGAACATTAAAATAAATCAAAAGCTATTTCTACATTTCAGGGTAGCCAAACTGCCTAAGATGTTTGTATGGCACATCATAATACACAAAATGAAATAAATACACCTATAAATGAAAGAATAAATAAAATATTTCAATTTGTGTGTCTTTAAATAAAAAGGGCATAATTTCTTCACAGATTTCTGCATATCTTTAAATTGTATTTCGTAACACTGATATTCATTAGATCGTTATTATACAATATTATTTCACATAATGCAAATGCGATTTCTTTAATTCAAGTTATATTTCACAATAAAAGTTCAACTTTTCATGTTATAGGCATTCATTTTTATAATGCGTCAACACGGTATACATGTTAAAAAGGTCTTTCAATAATAAGGTTAATACTTTTCTATTCAAGAGCAAAGGGTTCAGTCTGTAATGCATTATGTTGGTTGCCATATGAAAATATTTTGTTTTTTTAATCATAATATAATAAAATCTGTGAAAATTTCATTGAAGAGGTTCATTGTTGGTTAATGCTGAATTATAAGTAGTCAGGGTAAGAGTTTCTGATCAATACTGGAGTATATTCTCTAAAAGGTTTAGCAGTGAAAATGAAAGGGGACTCACTCAATTGCTGGTGTTCCAACAAGTAGGGGTATTTCAGCATTTCTGTTATCGGAACCCGTAAGAGGTTCTCAAACTCAGCTCCTGTGATCTTTGGGACGTGAATCTCCTGGTCCTCCTCCACAATAAAGAGGTCATCATCTTCCAGCTCTTCGGCACATGCTTGGGAGAAGCGTGCCGAGAGGCGCGATACCTCCAACTCCTGTAGCGTCTGGGGAGGGAACAGCACAGTCATCCATTTTAATCTTCAGGGAAATTATATCTGACAGCCCTGCAGAACTGCTGAGGCAAAAGTGATTTATTCCTATTAAACAGGTTGTACAGGTTTAAGCTGTTTGCTTATATTTTTTGGTCGTTAGCATCAGAGTTGAGCACTTTACAGGACTATTTAAAATTATAAATTGCTGTTTGAGCAGAGAAATAAAAGTTTGCAGTACCGCATGGAGTAGGGGCAGCTCGGCCTTCGCTCTGTGGTACTCCACCACGCATTCCAGGCAGAAGCAGAGGTCCTCGTTGACTGCCCGTTCATCGTCAGCTGTCAGTAGTCTAGAGCCATACTTCTGAAGCAGCTCATTAACACCCAAGGTGACAGGGGTACACCAGCGACATGTACTCATCTGTGCAACATAAGAAAGTTCTTACTGGAGCTTTTCCAATAGGATAAAAGTAAGGCAGGGATGGCCAATCTTATCCGCAAAGGGCTGGTGTGTATGCAGGTTTTTGGGATAACCTGTAGGTCAGCCGCTCAAACCAAGGTGTGAGGACTCTTCAGCCAATCAGTCCTCTAATTAGGGAGTTGCAGCGAAAACCCGCATACACACCGGCCCTTTGCAGATAAGGATTGGCCACCCCAGAAGGCATGAATTTTCAGCATCAGGAAGCTGACAGGTAATGTAGTAATGCCCACTCTGAAAGCAAGCCCAAAGTCTCCACAGTACCACAATTCTACTGCAAGCAAGTTACCATATTTCACCATCACCACAGAAACCGTGACTCACAGCATAGCTGCCAGTATTAGTTATAACTGGCAAAACACATTGGGGTGGGGTGGGAGCATTATACACAAATGTATACAGCCTCTAGTTCAGGGTCAAACAGGCACAGATAAAAAAAGCACTTATTTTTGCAAAGTACCAACTTAGAGCAAACACAAGAAAAGCTGACAGAATACATGACCATGCAGTGTATTGCATTCTGTCAGGGAAAAACACCCATACAAATTAGTACAGTGGTACCTCGGTTCTCAAACTCACTAGAACTTGAGTTTCTTGAAAGTTGAACAAACCAGTTTGACCTAGAACTCGATCTGAATATCAGAAGTCGAACCCTGACCTAATATAAAATTGTACGCGCCAGGAAATGAGTCATACTACAATGCAATTCTTACTTGAATGCCTTCTTCACAGACTGGACGATTAACCAAATAAAGCAGCGCAACATTACAGTAACTAACAATAAATAAACCACTAACTTACGTGTACTATTAGAGCATTTATGTAATTTATTTTACCAGGTAAGTTAACTGAAAACCAGTTCTCACTGCTGTACGTGATATTCGGGAGAAATAGATTACACATCGGAACTGCTTGGGATACAAACGTCACGCGTGTAACTAAACTCTTCAGCCAATAAGGGCAAAGGTGTGTTGTCACGGAGGCGGTTCCAGTTTGTGCAACCGGGTGAGAGGTCACAATGCATCTAACCGTAATGCATTGCGTCAGGATCAGAATGCGTTGCTTTAAGCAAGTTGAACGCACCCAATGACCGGACTGGGGAAACAAACTGAAACGCGGACTTAATAGAGGACTAATGACAACAACCAGAAACAGCTGATCACATGGGGATCCCACACGGGGTTAACGAGGAGGCGTGGCACACGGAAGGAGCGGACGATCGGGGCAGGACAGGGGTAATGTTTGGATAAGATCTTTATCGTTTTGGAAGTCATTTAGAAAAAAAAAAAGCTCTTCTTGTTTTATCCTGTTCATTTTGTATTTAAATGCTAACGAAAAAAAAATTGGGGGCTGGGAACCAATTAATTGGTTTTCCATTATTTATGGGAAAAATTTGATCAGAACTCAAACTTTTTAGGATTTGATCCGGAGTCCGGAACTGATTAAGTTCGAGAACCGAGGTACCACTGTATATAGATAGCAGAAGAAATAGGTTTTAATTACACTGATCACCCAATAAATTAGTGTCTCATTCTCTCATACTTTGTTCCAGTCAGTAATATTAAAATGAACAAGAAAGGACCAAAGATACATTGGGTAAATTTTATAATAGCTAGAGGAAAGAAACATGGAAATGAACTGGAGAAGAGCGACAGGGGCTGAACACAGCCGCTCAGCAGAGGCAGGGCCTGAACACAGCTGTTTAGCAGTGGTGCCAAGTGGAAATTGTCATCACATCTTGTGGTGGCAACTTCCTGCCAAAACATCTCGTCCGCGTGCGAGTGTACCCACCCACACACGTTTCCGTTCCATCTGTGCACAGTAATGGTTACCATTGTGTTGGTGTATGCACACAAGAACCACTGCTGGCTGACTGATTGGTTACAACTGGACAATGCAAGATAAGGAAGAAGAGACCATTCTTAAGCCCTAAATGTATCCTCAGATTTCCACTGATTGTAAAACTGTGTGGCACTATGGACCACATCTTTCCCCAGACATACCAGAATTATGACAAAAGTAACGGACAGACTGGAATAAAATATTTCCAAAATGTAGTACTCCGTGGTTAAGCCACTGCAATAGATGTATAACAGACTCCCTACATGTCAAAATCCAAAAAGACCATGACCTGAATCAAAATACAGCCGGGCAATGCATCTAAACTTCGTCATATAAAATTTACATAAGATCTTCAATTAACTGCCGATAAGGAACATCGCTTAATGGAACACTAGCCAATCACATCACAGAAAGGAACAATTCCAATCAATCATATGGTAGTCATTCAAGAATGGACAACCTAAGCCCAACAAATGTACAGCAAAATTGACCAAGTTAGATGAGCATGCCACAGAAGCTCCTTCAGAGGAAGCTGCAAATGTCAGTGAAGAAGACTACAGCTCAGCAGCTACATTTTATATAGATATAGATATTGGATGTTTCTCAACATGCATACATGACTGTACATGCAGAATGGGTAAACGATCACATCATCTATCATTGCCATTGAAGTATAGAGGACGGTAAAAAACATCTGCAGTTCTTGCACCACCCCAAACATGAAGGATACATCGTTTGCATCCTCACCAAACTCACTCCATCCTAGAATAGGGGTAGCATGACGTGTGGGGTGTGGCCTGTCAGGGGTAGGATGCTGCCATGCCCCACCCTCCAGCCCGCTCATGGTGCATGGGGTGCCCAGCCAGCCTTGGTTAGCCAAAAACAACCTTCCCCCAATCACTCAATCTTCCTTTTGCTCCTACCTCTCCTCTCATCCATCTTTACCCGACAATGCATCACTTTAATCTCCAACACGCACAGACACAAAGACAAACACACCATTAAGGGGATAGCATACTATGCAACTTCAACAGTCTAGACGAGGGGTGGCCAATCTTATCCGCAAAGGGCCAGTGTGTATGTAGGTTTTTGGGATAACCTGTAGGTCAGCTGTTCAAACCCAGGTGTGAAGACACTTCAACCAATCAGTCCTCTAATTAGGGAGTTGCAGCGAAAACCTGCATACACACCGGCCCTTTGTGGATAAGATTGTCCAGACCAGGGGTGGCCATATTCACTGCATAACACCTGAGTTCTGTTGATTTAATCATTTTCCTTTCTTCTGTTCTCTCTCTCTCTCTCTCCTTTCCAACAACTTCATGTCACCTAGTTGTATGCTTTTGACCAGTCATGCTAAAAGACTACAAGTACAGTCTTTGCATTCTTGATATAGAGCAGGGTTCTTCAACTCTGGACCTCGATTCCAAATCCAGGCCGTGTTTTCAGTTCTCCCAGGTAGTTTAATAATTACTGATTCTGATTGGTCAGAGGCTTCACACCTGACTGACAGGTAAAGGAAGGCTGGAAAACCAGCAGTGCTCGGACCTCGAGTTGAATAACCCTGGATATAGAGAAAAGCCCATTGTGGATAAACAAGGCAAAAAGAGGTCAGAGGAGTGGCAGTACTTTTTGCAGTTTAAAGTTCGACACACAAACTCTTGTGGTGTATTTGTAAACTTTGCAAAAAAATAAAACAACTTAATTTGTGTATGATTTATTAAAAATTACATTTGTTTGCTGTCCATTCAATGTCACATTTGTCCATGTTCTGAATGTGTTTAAGGGCCTCTCTCTCATGTCTATGCTACCACCTAGAAACTGAAGCTTCCAAATGCTTTTTGGAAAAGCGAAAAGGGACGAGATGGGAATCTGCCATCTGAGCTTGACCAGACACCTGTCCAAAGCATGGCCATCTGCCTCAAGCACAGCTGACGTTTGGAGAAAACATAGTACCTGCCAGTAAGAAGCTGGAGGGGACCCATGAGACTCTGCCAAAAGCACACCAGAGGCATCCAACCTGCTGCACTGGCAGCTTGAAAAGGTGGCAGCCTGGGAGAGATACTTGATGGGGTGTGCTGAGATACTGAAAGCCCAAGGCTGAACACTGTCTGCCTTTAACCATGGGAGCAAAGAGAATCTTTTAGCCTCTCAGCTTGACTTATCTGCTGTTGGCCAAGGCAGGAGGGATACGTGCAATCAATGAGGCAGACAAAAATGTATAGAATACCAGGGTCCCAAGCTGAGAAATATTCTGAAACAGTTACAAAAAAAAAAAAAAAGACAAGACAGTCCAGTGACGTTTTCCTGGTAGTTTGGCAGCCTTCATGCATGTTCTTAACACCTGCCCATTTTATGTGAAGGTTTTACACCAGGGGTGGCCAATCTTATCCAAACAGGGCCATTGTGAGTGTGGGTTTTCATGGGACCTCCCTAAATTTGATCATCAATTAGAGGACTGACTGGCTGAAGAGTTCTGACACCTGGGTTTGAACAGCTGACCTAAAGGTTATCCCAAAAACTTGCATACACACAGTTGCTTTGCAGACAAGATTGGCCATCCATATTATAGCTTTGTCACTTGTGCTATGTTCCATTTACCTTGGAAGTCAGAAGTTGGAAATAACATCACACACTAATAATATAATTGCAAAAACTGCGATATACTAATTGCGTTGTTTCAAATTGTGACTTCGATAAATCGTTCAGCCCTAGTATCTATAGTGTATTATAGATGAGCTTCAAGTAAAGTGTTACCAACTATTCAAGTAGGCCTACTCAACCCAACCCTGATTTTTCCCCCTTTCGTGAACATCAGTGACAAATCATTTTTGCCAACATTTCACCAATATGATAACCCATCACACTACTTACTGTGTCAATATTTTACAGGGATAAAGGCTTAACAAAAAAATTGTATGTTTGGATTTGAATATTTGTATTGGTCAGGAACAGTTAGCAAGTTTCCCCCATTAACGTAATGGGAATAGAGTTTCTGACTCAGTTGTAGAGGAGCAATTACCGTAGGTCTTTATGATTTGTGCATTCTGTAGAGCGTACAACACGGTGTACTTTAGCATATTCAACAGTATATCACTACTGCC